TCGAAAAACGCCTTACTATACATGGTCGTTTGTTTTCCTAATTTTTTTCGGTTAAAAATGCCTTACTATACATGGTCGTTTTTTTTTGGCTGAAAACGCCTTACTATACATGGTCGCTTTTTTCGGCTAAAAACGCCTTACTATACATGGTCGTTTTTTTCGGCAAAAAAACACCTTACTATACATGGTCGTTTTTTTCAGCTAAAAACACCTTACTACACATGGTCGTTTTTAGCCATAAAACAACGACCATGAAGAGTAAGGCATTTTTAGCCTAATTTTAAAGCCTAACCCGATTTGAAATCCTTGCCCGAGTTGGAAAGCTGACTTTGAAACCCTGCCCAACACGACCCTATCTGAACCCGGCTCGGTTGCCGTGCCGATGGAGGATTAGGCTTCGATTCCCAGAAGCCTTGGGTTCATTTGGGGTTTGACGCGATCAAACGGGATTACGGTGAAAATGAAGCCGGAGGCGCTGTCACATGTTGCGGAGAGGCTTCATCAGCTATTATTTGAACCACTTGGAACTGGGCTTTTTTTTTTTTTTTTTTTTGCGGGTTCGTGAAATCTGTGGTGATAAAGTGATTTTCGCCCCAATTTCAGGTTTTCGTGGTCTTTTGCTCCGTTTCAGCCTTTCTTGGAGTTTCTACGTGCAATCGTCGATGACGGTGACCTCTCTTATCTGATCACAGTCGCCGAGTCGGCGCATAATCACCTCCGTTATCGACGACGCAGTGACTGGCCTCGCAGGCCGACCGATGGGTCGCCGAGAGAGAGCACCGATGAGAATTTCACATCAAGAGTGGGCAAAATGATTTGTATTCTCAACATAGGTTGCAGATATCATGCTCAAAATGTTAGCCCACCCCCAACCCTAAAAAAAAAAGTGTGTGTGTGTGTGTGTGTATATATATACACATATATATATATATATATATATATATACACTTTTGCGGCGAAGCGCAGCCGTGCCGGCTTTCTGTCAATGATCAAGCAAGACCCGACGCGGCTGCTCTCAGCCACTATCTGGCCTCTCGCTGATAAGCTTGTCTGAACTCGCCGCCTTATCTTTTGCGTCGCTTTTTTCTTGCCCAACTGCTGGCTGGCCAAAGGGGCTGCCAAATGAAGGGGGGGGGGGGCGAGCACCAGCACGTCAATCTGGGGGCCCCTCGCCCCGTGCAATTCCCCCCAATGCTCACACACAATGTGACACGCCATCGACGGGCTAACGAAAGTAGCATCGTGAGTCTCGCATTGACGTCGGAATGTATACTTGGAACACCATCGGTGGCAACGCGTTTTCTTTCACCTCCAAGAAAAATGTGGTTTGAATGTCATTGTCTTTGTGTAAATGCGTCAAACAAAAACAAAATACCCTAAAATGGCAAACTATCGGCCACACTGCAAAAATGGCACCAAGGTTTTGTTAAAAAGAAAGGGGTTTTATTTTTTTCAAGGGAGCCCAATGCAGGTTTTGAAGCAACAATGGGAAACCATCATGTCAATTCACCAAACACGTTGGCAAAAAAGTCCCAATCGTCGTCCAAAGCCGGAGGAGAAAACAACAGAAAGAATGGTTCGTGATGCTGAGGAAACGATGAAAAAATAGCTCATAAAAATAAACAACAACAAATCCTCCTCATCATCAAATGAAACGACATCAGCAGCTTGTTTCAAAAGGTGAAACAAAACGTCACATGTGACACATCTAGTAGCCTTGAAGAGTTTTCTTTTTTTTTCCTTCTCAGTCAAAAACATTTCAAAACAAAAGCGATGTACACCCACGACAGTTAGCCACGACATTCTTGCATTGCGCTCATCGTTTACAGCTCGCTTGCTTGTTTGTTAGCAAACGCAGCGTGTCTTGGGAAATGAGCCAATTTCACTTGATTGGTCCGAAAATAATTTCTTGCTTCCAAATGAGGGAGATTTTTCGATCATCTCTCGATAGCGGCAACATAATCGAGTGAGTGTATTCTCTTTGGCCGCCTGCTGCCGTCCATGCAACAGAATTTCACATCCACTCAATGGTAAACCTGTCAACAAATTTGAGATGCAATCATCATTATTTCCTTACATGGCTTTCTGTGACTCCACTGGTCTCGCACATGGCACCGTCACACACATTTTACTAATTATTTTCGTCCAAATATGCCGAACCTTTTTGTAAGTAGCGTAAATGTCTTGGCAAAGTTGGGAAACCAAGGTGGGCGTGCAACCGGGGGCAATGTCATTTCAAAGGTGATGCTAATAATGCTAATCACGTTAGCGTGGAAACGGAAAGTGAAATGAGCTAACCCACCCGGTGTCGATATTTCATTTTCTGATACAGAAAAATACTCAAGTGAATCACGGATGTTATACTGATTTGCCACGGCTTTGTGGGGGGGGGAGGGTTAAATATTTCTCTCTATACAGTTGTTATATGAAAATACGTCAAAACGGTGGTGTTCCGTGTCAACTGCATTTCTGAGCGAAGCAGCCTGGACCATTCTGCCTGAGACGGGAGCAGTTTGAAGCGACGCAGGACTAAAATAATAGCTTTTTCCTCCCTCCGTCGGACTATTTTTATCATTATTATTATTTCGAAAAAAAACAAAAACAAAATCAGATGTTGACGGCAGGTTGCCCT